ATCTATTCCTATATATTCAAATTAACTCAAAACTTGGGACTCAAAACAATAAACAAGTATTAACTTGCCATTTCCCTGAGTCATGAAATCTGGGTATAGTTTAGCTGGGCACCTCTGACTGAGGAACTCTCATAAGGCTTCCATCATTCTGTCTGCCAGGACTATGGTCTCATCCAAAGGCCTGGGGGCAGGCAAAGGGTCCACTTCCAAGGTTATTGATATGGTTGTCTATAGGATTCAGTTCCTGAGGCTTTGTTGGAGATAAGGAACTCAGTTCCTCCAGAGCTGTCAATGGAAGCTCCTGCCTCTCTAAATGGTTACTAACAACAACAACAAAATGTCTTTAGGTAAGGGCCTGGCGGGTAAAGAGAATTAAGGCAGATGAATAATTAAAGGTTTTAGGTATAGTTACAATTTAGGGTATTTAGGGCCTATGATGAAGATGAAGCTAGAGCGACCAGATAGTTAAGAAAATTGTGTATCCTGGTAAGGCATTTATGCTTCACTTTACAAAGAAGGGAAACATCAGAAGAAATTTAAATAGAAAAGAACATGAAATAAATTGACAACAGTTTTCAGGCAGGACTGGAAGCCATAATTGATAAAAGACCTATTAGAAAGTATAATTATGGTCAATATAAGAATTGATTAGAGGCTAAGAACAGGAGCACACACCTGTAATTCCCAGCTACTTGGAAAACTCAGGCAGGAGGTTCACAGATTTAAAGCCAGTCTGGGCAACTTAATGAGACTCTGTCTCAGAGAAATAAAAGGGCTAGGGATGAAGCTCAGTGGTTGAACAATTGCCTAGCATGTGTAAGGTCCTAAGTTTAATTTCTAGTACCACACATACACATAAGAAGAAAAATGAACAGGTAAAGGAGAATGTTAAGGCTATTGTTCAATGATTCAATCAAATAGACATAGTAAATTGGAGGCTGGTGATACTGGCCAAGGAAGAATTCCAGAATCCTGAATTGAATCACTTGGATGGGTGGTGGGTCCATTCTTCTATATGGGAACAGTACAGGAAACAGACACAGGGAGAGGAAAGGATCCATGGTGATAAATACTGTACAGATATATATGATGAATAAAGGACAGAATATTTTTCTTTTAAAACAAATGTATACCAAAACCAAAATCATTGGGTTAAGCTAGATTTGAAAGAAAGAAAGAAAGAGAGAAAGAAAGAAAGAAAGAAAGAAAAGAAAAATGACAACGGAACTTGGAACATTATTTCTGAATGAGAAATAAAATTTTGTCATGATAACTTTGGAAAAGCCATTTGCTAGAGATTTGTTTCCTCATCCAAAATATGACAAATTTTTGTCCTTTTTTATGATTCTGATATCTTATGATTTAAAGAACTATAATTTCCCAATTTTTCTATTAACCTTAGCTGGTCTCCTCACTTAATATCTGATTTTCACTGTGATGCCACCTGACTTTTTCTTCTGTTGACCTCATTTTTTCATACCACTTATTTCATATTTCAATAGCTTTTGTTCATATCTCACACATCTATTTTTTTTTAATTTTTTAAAATATTTTTTAGCTTTTAAGGGAGTCTCTAGGGAAGAATAAAATAAGTAAAATATTTCATGCTGCTCTTCACAATAAACCCTCCCCAAATTTGGGGCCAAAGCATGAGATATGTAAATAATTTGGAATAACCATCAGTTAATAGAAAATATTTTTAAAAATTAAAGAAGCTACTCCATGCAGTGAAATTTTATCATTTTTCTGTTGGATTTCAAAGGAGGTTAAAACTATCAGAAGAACAATTTAAGGTCTTAAGCTCAAATGTGCAAGTGTAAATATCCAATGGTTCTCACTAAATTTTATTGCAGAAGAAACTCTGGGAAGCCACTGAGAATCTTACAATGTATCCTTACCAGTAACATGTTCCCTTCATGTATTGAAGAGAAGAAGAACACCTGCTAAGAATAAAAAGGTAGAAACTTTCCCCCAGAGTGAGGTTACTATGATGTTCAAATACAAATATCTGGATTAAAAACTCATTTCTATATAAGGAATAACTCCCAGGTACTTATTGAAGTGATATTTTTCCTGGTTTGTCATGAAATGAAAATTCCCAGTGTGCAGAGTTTGTTAATAAGACACATACTAAGCATTTAATGAATTATATCTTGATGATAATGATGTACAACCACTGATTAAGTCCATGGATCAAAAGTTAATTGGAAATAGTTTTTTAAAAATGTAAATAAGCAGAAGATCAGAAAGGAAACAGGGAGAGGGAGGAGTGGAGGGAAAGGTGAAATACTGGGGACTGATACATATAATTATGTCAAATTAATCTTAACAATATTTTAACTAAAATGAACTGATAAAAATTAAAAAGTAAAAAAAAAAGTTAATTAGAAGAACTATTTTATCTTGACAATCACAACATTAATGACCAAATGCAATGATGATGGTACATGGAATTCTGGTCAAGACAGTGTCCAACTGGGAAATATTATGTCTTCTACTTTTCTTATTCATGAGGGTATGTAGTTCTTGGTTTGAACAGTGGGAAAAAGAAAAACCTCTATAGCACCAGAATAGTGGCAAATTCTCATTCTTTTTCTTTTCTTTTCTTTTTTTTTTTTTGTAACTAGGAATCGCAGACTGGCAAAGTGTGTTATGAGACAGCCATAATAGCAGTGGAATCCAATGGATGAAAATTTTTTTAAGTCTCACGTAAATTCTTTGGGAAATCAAACACCATCCTTAGTGAGATATAAAAATTAATACACTATATAGCTCCTACACTGGAGACGTGAAATTCAAAGCTGAGGATGTAGATCAGTGGCAGAATGTGTGCTTAGCATGTGTGAGCTCCTGGGTTCAATACTTAACATTCCCGCCAAATTGTACAATTCAGTGTTGTTGTTGTTTTTACAGAATATAGCTTTATTTATAGAATCTTACAAATAAAACATTTACAGTCCACATAAGCTATTTTCTTTCCTAATTTTTCTCATAACACCTGAGTTTTTTTAAAAAAAATACTGTGATGTAATTGTAGAACTGTAAAAGGAAATATGAATAATAAAAACCTAACCTCTTTCTTTTGCCAAAAATCAGACTTTATTATTATTATTTTTTTAAAGCAGGTTTCTGGCATATTTCTGTCTCTTTGGAAGAGGACTTCCTAAAAAATAGATCTTAGACTACTCAAACAGAGAAGTCTTCATTTTACAAACCCAGGGTAAAGGACCACCAAAGAATGGCCCCCAGGTAACACTAGACACACAATCTTTGGGGGCAAAGACAGAAGGTGAGAAGTAGCAGGACCCTGTCCCTGGCTTATGGCGCCTACGTGACATGTACTTTCCTTGCTGACATTAATAGGAACTGGTCCATCTGGAAAGAAGTGGAAGGTGCCTTTGGGGTGCCAGGTGGAAAAGTCCTCTAACAACTCACTACTCCTCAGACTTCTAATATGTACAGATGCCTAGAACAGCAAATTCAACACTTAAAAGTCAAAATGAAATTGCCACATTTTCAAATCATGAGGCAGATCTGTTGCCAATGGGAACTTCCATTACCATCTCCCTCCTAAGCTCCAACTGGGCTGGCCTCTGCATCCATGCAGGCGAAAGAGGAATTCCCTCTGAGGCAGTCGTCTGTGAAGGTGAAGCTCTTGAGTTAATAATATAGGTGTCCATGAAAAGGGCAAGCACCCTACTAGTTCATATTTATTTTTTAATTTGTTAAAGATTATGTTTTTTTAAGCTCCTCTCCTAAACTTAGAAACCCACTAACTCTAAGTCAGTACTCTACTCCAAGACAAAGGATATTTTAAAGGAATGACAGGAACTACAGGGAATGCTAAAATTAAAATTGTAATAGATTAAGGTGAGTTAGATAAAGTAAATCTTCCAGTCTTTTTGGGGGGTGGTGGTGGTGGGGGTGGTGTGCTGGGGATGGAACCCAGGCCTTGCACGTATACTGTGCAGGAGCTCCATCTGTCTACCACTGAGCTACCCTTCCAGCCTCAGAGTGTCATTTTCTGCTACCTCTTGAAAGCAGTTTGAGAAAAATAAGACAGAAAAGACAAAATCATGTTAAAACGATAACAACAATGATGATGATAAATATAAAAAGTTAGATTCTAACATTTAAGGAATTGGTTCTTTGGTAAAACTGGACCCTAACTCTATCAGGAGTTGGTCCTGACATTCAATCTAGAATCTTGATTGCTAATGGTTCCTCCTTCTTCAGCCTATTCTAAATCCATCTGAGTCAACAGGCAGGGTTGAGAGTGAGACTTAACAAAACCCCCAGCACTTTTTCCATTCATACTCTTTTCAGGAATATTCTTGGTTTGAGGAACATTTCCTAAGAACAAAAACAAAATAGATGTTGATTTTAATTAACAACAGTAGACAGTTTTTCTAAGGAAGGATAGAAACACTCAGGCAATGACAATGAACCAGCACTCCTGTCGTCATCATGTGAACACAGCCTCTGGGCTGCAGCTGTGGCACCACTAAAAAGGCTTCTGGAGAGACTGGCTCCCCAAAGTGGCTAAAGAATCTCACATTATCAATATGATAATAATAAATCAATTCACCTAGTGAACCTGGAGATTAGCTCCCCTTGAAGCCAGAGTTCTGAGGAGGGGGCTCCACAGTGCCTGAGGCTGGCCCATAGTGTTAAAGCCAAGTTCATCAATCCATGTTCTGGAGAGAATTAGAGGAATTTATACTGAGTTCAATACAGGATTCTACTTCTGATGTCTGGGGCCAGGGAGGAAGCAGTAACCAATACAGTGCCACTCAAATTCCACCCGCAGCAATACCTTCGGCCATGCCCCAAGTTTTTGACCTTATAGTCCAGTGTTCCCCGGTACTCAAACTTTTATTTATGTAATTACTAAGTCATAAATTTCGCCTGCACTCATTCCATTTCTGACTACCCTTGTCATGGTAAAGCATAAACTACTGCACTCTAATTCTACAGGTCGGCTTGCC